CCCGCGGCCGGCGGTCCCCGCCGGTTACCTCTTGAAGTCCCGCATGAGACGCCGCCGAGCCGGGGTAGACATATCTCGAGCGGGGTCAGGGTTGGGGCATACACTGAAATCTTGGGTCCCAGCCGAGGGTAAGGAGGCCGATGAGGCTGAAGAAGCCGAAGAAGCCTGGGAGGAAGCGCCCAGAGGGACCGCACTGCCCCTCCGAAGTCGAGGGTCGGTCTGGCGCCGGCTAAGCACCACCCCGGAGTAGACAGGGGCTGAACCAACCTGGAAGGAAGGGGGGGGGAATGGAACGCCGAACGCCGGACGGGCCGTACCAAGACGGGCCGCGGGGGGGGCGTGGAAGGAAGTTGCTTAGGTCATTAAAGCACGGCCAGAGGCACGCGGGGCTGAGGCGTTTCACTGGCCAACGGGAGCCTATAGTTCCAGGACTGGGTAGTGGAATGGGCTGCACCCCCACTTGTCAAGTCTAAGACGAATCCTGGGAAGCTTTTTTTTCCCAGTTATCTTTTTTTTTTTTTGTCTTTCTTTTTTAAAAGACCAGATCACTTAAAGTGCGCCCTGTGGCTGGGGGACAAGGATAAAATCCCAAACTAGAGGAGGAGGAGTGGGCGGAGGCAAACCAGAAGGTTCTCAAAAAGCGGGAACAATGCATGCACATCCTCTGCGGACACAGGACACTGGGGAGGGCTCTGTGTGACCCGTCAAAATCACTGAAAATCCAAAGAGTAAATCGGCCTCGACTATGAAAAGGGCTGTGGGTCCCTTTTCTGTGGAATGAATGAGGGATTTGAGTCCCAACATTTAGGCCAATAATCACTCCCAAGCAAAATAAAATGGTGGTGTGTGTCAGAGCACTCACAATTTGGTTCTGGAACCACATTTTCCCTTGGCAGTTCAACAAGCCAAACTGCTGCTGTATGTTCAGAAAAATCCAAGGTCTGAGAATGTTGGACTGCAGAGACCTGCAAGGGCAGTGGAAGAAGCTGCAGATTGCAGGGAAGAGTCACAGTTGAGATGTAGACCTGCAAAACCAATAACAGTTTTAAAGAATGATTTTTAAAGGTTAACCCCAAATAACTTAGAAGGTAGGCAAAATATTCATTTAAGAATTTGTGAGGCCCTAACCTGGTAGCTCAGTTAGTTAAAGCATCGGCCAAGGATGCCCATTTGGATCCCCAGTCAGGGCACATAACAAGCATCAACCAATGAATGCATAAATAAGTGGAATAACAAATCGATCTCATTCTCATTCTCTCTCTCTCTCTCTCTCTCTCTCTCTCTCTCTCCTTCCCCCCTCAAATCAATAAATATAAAAAAACTATTTTAAAAAGATATTTTGAAAATATGAGAAAGGTAGGTTTGGGTTAAGTCCTGAAGAGTTTTGAATGCCAAACCAATGGATTTCTTGGAAGGTGGATGAGCAGAGAAGAGACATGATTACAACTGTGCCAATCAGAGATTGGTCCCAGGAAAGCAGCTAGGAGATTCCTGAAGTATTCTAGGTGAGAGATACTGAACTAGGCAGTGACAATAAAAATGGAAAGGAGGGGGAGAATAGAGAGGAATTGGCAACAGAGTGACTGGGGGATGGGGAATAGACAGAGGAAGGAGTCATCAATGGCTGGAGTTGTAAGTGCAGAGGCAACTGGAGATTTGAAGGTGCCATGAACACAATTAGAAAATAGAGGGGGAGGGGCAGCTTTGGGAGAGGAAATTTGGGAACTTACTGAGTTCATGGGACTGGTGAGACATACAGATGAAGATGTTCACAAGATATCAGATGTGTAGAAATTTGTTTCTAATATAGGAGGTAGGAGACACTTGAAAATAGTAGTAATTCTAGTTGCTGCTTAATAACAGGTACTTTCATGCCAAGGATTTATATCTCCCATTAACTCCAAAATATCAGTTAAGGCAAGTCTCACCAGTAACTTCACATTATGGCTGTGGTGTGAAGGAGGACAAAAATAAATTTTAAAAACCTTTTCCTCTCATCTAGAAACATGTACTAAGACCTATGAAATCAACAAAAGCATGATGTACAAAAGCAAATGCATTCATTCTCTACTGCTGTTGAACAGATTACCAGAAACTGTTGGCCAAGTTCAGTTCTGTGTAGTTATAAGACTAAGCTCCCCATTTTCTCACTGCTTGCCAGCCAGGGACCATTTTCAGCTCTTACGGGTCTCCCACATTGCTTGCCATGTGGCCTGTTCCATCTTCAAAGTCAGCAACAGAGAATTTTTCTCTCATCCAATCCCTCTCACACTCTGAATGTCTTTCTTCACAAAGAGCCCAGTTCACTTTAAAGGTTTATCTGATTAGGACAGGCTACCTCAGATAATCTCCTATCTTAAAATCATCTAACTTGGGCCCAAATGGCATGGCTCTTTGGTTGAGTGTTGAGCTATGAACCAGGAGGTCATGGTTTGATCCTGATCAGGACCTGGGTTGTGGGCTCAATCCCTAGTGTGGGGCATGCAGGGGACAGCCAAACAATGATTCACTCTCATCATTGATGTTTCCATCTCTCTCTCCCTCTCCCTTTCTATCTGAAAAAAAATCATCACACTTGGAGCCTTAATTACATCTGCAAAATTCCCTCACAACAGAACCTAAATTAGTGTCTGATTGAATAACTAAAAGAAGGTGCGTGTACATCAATAGTCAGGAATCTTGAGGGAGGGGGTTGCATTGGAGAATTCTGCCTACCAAAGCAGCAGGAAGATACATAGCAGAAGCGTGCGAATCCAGCAGGTGACTCATTGGTTTGGTCTGGTTAGAACAAGCTTCCTGGAAAGGATCTATATAAACTTTATTTCAAAAGAGATGAAAGCAGGGCTTGGAAGAGAAGAACTCAAGCAGTTTCTGGGAGGGCGATAGCACCAACAAAAACCATGTTCTGACCTGGCCAGCGGGCTCTTTGGTTGAGCGTCAACTATGAACCAGGAGGTCATGGTTCATTTCCTGGTCAGAGCACATGCCCTGGTTTCAGGCTTGATCCCCAATTAGAGGTGTGCAGGAGGCAGCTGATCAATGATTCTCTCTCATCATTGATCAGCTGCCTCCTGCACACTCCCCACTGGGTATGTGCCCGCAACCAAGGTACATGCCCTTTTGCTCTGAAATCTATCTATCTAGCTAGCTAGCTAGCTAGCTAGCATCTTTTTTTAAAAAACGAAGTCCTGCCCTAATCGGTTTGGCTCAGTGGATAGAGCATCGGCCTGCGGACTGAAGGGGCCCAGGTTCGATTCCGGTCAAGGGCATGTACCTTGGTTGCGGGCACATACCCAGTGGGGAGTGTGCAGGAGGCAGCTGATCAATGCCTCTCTCTCATCGATGTTTCTAACTCTCTATCCCTTCACTGGATAATCCCTCTCCCCTTCTCTCTGTAAAAAAATCATTAAAAATATAAAAAAAAGAAACGTCCTTTTCAGTTGAAAGCGTGTTAGCAATGCAGCTTCAGGGAAGATAAAAAAATTGTCTATAGGCAAGGATTTGAGAATTTTCCTAAAAGGAGGACTGTGAAATATAGGAGTATATGACTAGGGAAATTGTAGAAGTTCATTCATGCAGCTTTCAAAATGCAGAGTGGATTGTGATTTTCCTGAACTATTTTGGGTTGGAAGGAGAGACTGGATAACCGATCATTCCCTGCCTGTGAGGCTGTGAGTTTGTATTTCTATTATCCAGTGAAGGCAAGCAATTTTATTATCACTTCATTTGATAAAAATGTAGTATAAACGGCAACCAAGAAACGACAGAAAATAAAACAAAATGCCTTCCTTGACTCTAATAATCTCAGAAGACAAGTCAAGAGAATCACATAGGAAACAAGTTGTCACAGTGTGGCTTTGGGCAATAAAAGTAGTAGTATGGTTAAGAGTCATCCTGTGCACCAAAAGGTCACTGGGTTTGATTCCCAGTCAGGGCACATACCTGGGTTTCGGGCTCATTCTCCAGCAGGAGGCATCAATGTTTTTTTTCTCTCTCTCTCTAGAAAAATAATTAAAAAAACATGGTAGTATGTTGTTCATTTAGAGCCCCTAGGACATAGAGAGAGAAAGAGAGAGAGAGCAAAGTGAAAGAGAAAGAGAGATAGAGGGGGGAGAGTAGGGGAGGAAGGAGAAGAGAAAGAAAAACTGAAACTTAGTGAAATATCACCTCTATATCTTTTTAAAAATATATATATTTTATTGACTTCAGAGAGGAAGGGAGAGGTAGAGAGATATAGAAACATCAATGATGAGAGAGAATCATTGATTGGCTGCCTCCTGCACACCCCCTACTGGGGATCGAGCCCATAACCTGGGCATGTGCCCTGACTGGGAATAGAACCCTGACCTCCTGGTTCATATCACCTCTACATCTTGAAGAAATATCACCATATTGTGAGGCTGTGGGTTTGTATTTCTATTAGCCAGTGAGGCTGTAAGTTTAATTTTAAAATTAAAAGTGCATATTTATCATGTCAAAACAAGAAAATAAAAGTGGAATTTTAATACCATGCTTTTAAAAAATATTTTTATTGATTTCAGAGGAAGGGAGAGGGAGAAATAGAAACATCAATGATGGGAGAGAATCATTGATCAGCTGTTTCATGAACACCCCCTACTGGGGATTGAGCCTGCAACCAGGGCATGTGCCCTGATCAGGAAGCCAACTGTGACCTCCTGGTTCATAAGTTGACACTCAGCCACTGAGCCACACTGTTGGGCTGACTATCAGCCTTTTAAGTGTAGACTATTTGGTTATCTATTAGATGTCAAAGCACTGTTTATTACACAGTGATACTGTAGTGTTGCTAAAAGAATATAATATACATGAACATTACTAAACTAAGCACTCATTGCAATGTTCCCAACTCACAGGAAAGCAATGGTTAGAAAAATTAGAAAGTTTAAAATGGAACATGTTATCATAGCAGAATTCTTCACAAAAAGAAAAGATGAAATGTGGCTTTGGCCAAAGTGAGTTTCTGAGTGGCTCATTTGTTAGCCAAAGAAGGAAGGCCATTTACTGATTATCAGTTAATTAAATTGTGTTTGATTGCAGAAGCCAAATAATGTGTCCAGGGAAAATAAACATTTTCAAGACTATTAACCTTTCAACAAGAACAGTGGCTCAAAGACTGAAGGACATTGGAAGCAACATCAATAGTCATTTAAAAAACAAGAAACAGGGAAACCCTGGACGGTTAGCTTACTTGGTTAGAGCGTCATCCTGATATACCAAGTTTGTGGGTTCAATCCCCAGTTAGGGCACATACAAAACTC